TTTGTGAGTCTGGTGTTTTTGGAACAAGTATCCTTTGCAGATTTTACTTCTTCACAAATAGGTAATATGAAAACGTTTCAACTATTTCTATTAGCTTTCAGTGATACAGCACACATACACGTAGCGACAAGAAAATACACCATCTGACACTTATCACCTATCAGGACATAATAAAAATAATCGATCCTTAGCAGGTCTTAAAATGAGGTAAATACAACCTCAGATGAACAACAACTCAAAACATCTTACACCATGTCACTTTTTTCCATGTGGGAAAAAGATGTTGTGCGCTTTTCACTGCTCAGCTTTCCAGTTGCCTTCTTGGCTCAGCACCACACACGGCTCGCTCCCTGGTCCCGGCAACATCCTCAAAAGGGGAGACATGATCAGATGATGGAGGTCAGGTATGTGAGTCAGCCTCAACTGACACCACACCCCGAACCCACTGCTCCACCCCTCCGCTGCAGCTGAGCCACAAGCCACACTCCACCGCAGACATGTTATAATATGTGTTGTTGTTTATCTGAAGTAGTATGAACCAAACTTAAAGGACCAAATTGTTTTCTTTTATATTTTTCACACAACTGCAAATCTCCAGATTGCTTTACATGTGTACTTTCTTACAATTTCTTGACTTTGTTTTCAGCAAAATGCACAGAAACCACACGTGAGACAGAAGACTTTGAACAGCTGAAGAAACTGAGGAACAGATTCACTTATAATGCAAGAAGCTGTAAAGAGATCAAGGACCGATATGGTGAATATGAAGGTGAGGACAATACAATCACACAAATCACCAGTCATAATTATTTAACGGGCAACATTCATTAATTCAGGATATTTCTACCCTCTTAAAATGAAACTATGTTTTCTTAATACTTTGTTTCCAGATGGGGTGTACTACCTCACCACAGCTAATGGCATGCTGTACCAGACTTACTGTGATATGACTACTGCGGGAGGCGGATGGACGCTGGTGGCGAGCGTCCATGAGAACAGTATTTATGGAAGGTGCACAGCTGGCGATCGCTGGTCCAGCCAGCAGGGCAACAATGCTGACCTGCCGGATGGAGATGGAAACTGGTCCAACAGAAACACCTTTGGAACAGTAGAGAGCTCCACTTCTGATGACTTTAAGGTAAAATCAGCCGTGGTGGTAAAAACAGTGCTGGAAAGTAACATTAACTGAAGTACTTTACTTAATTTACTTAAAACTGATTGTGAGATCATAAAATGCAACACACTGCTGTGGTTAGTTTGTTGGAAACTCATCAGTTTCTTGCCAGATGAATTGTTTAGACAGAAATGCTCACAGGATACAAGAAGAAGAAGCAACAATTAAATTCCTTGATTTATCGTCTGATTGTGTATCTTAACCATGATGTAAATAACAGTATTAAACACCAATTAATATCATAGATAAAATATTTACCATAGGAAAAAAAATACACTTTAGTGTCAAACACTTTTGATATTAAAGTGTATTTTAGCTGGTTATAAGCTACAGTTCCAGCTTATGTCACTGAATTGGTTCGGTGCAGGTGGGCGTGGGATGTCACAAAAATTCTATTTGAAAAGATAAACAAAATATTTGAAAAGCAAAATGGAGCAATTTATGATGCAAAAGAAGTTAACTGGACCAGAAGTGTTAATTTGAGTCATAACTATGTGTGTACCCTCACACAGAATCCAGGTTACTATGATATAACAGCTGAGGACATGTCTGTGTGGCACATTCCCAACAACTTGCCGCTGGAGCACTGGAACCAAGCAGCCGCAGCCATCCTCCGCTACCACACTGAAAACCAGTTCCTCACATTGTATGGAGGAAATCTCTTTCAGCTGTTCAAGGTAATTAAAGCTCTGAAGAATTTATTAATTTGTAAATTTCAAAAACATAAATGATCAAGAGGAAAAGCTTCTGAAAATTGATCCAGTAGTTTATATTCTGTAGTAAATCAGCCGTTTCCCAAGGTGGAACGTTGGTGGAACGTTGGAACGTTTTAAAGTTTCAAAATTCCTGTGAAAAGATCGTTAGTTGTCTGCTACATCAATGGTATACTTGTCCCGAGAAATAACGGCTGTTTCATGCAGGAAGATTGTGAACTGAACTTTTGAAAATATCACAGATGCGTGTCTACTACTTCCTCCAAAGAACAATGCAAACTGGTTCTAACCAGAAAAGAAAGAGAAGTGAGAGACCCCAGAGCACAACTGAACAGGAGGATGACTCACTGGTCACTTTATTAGAGATACTTAGTTGATACCAACTTGGATCCCCTTTGCCTTCTGAACTGCCTCAATTCCTTGTGGCCAAAGTGTGCCAAGAAAATATTACACCACCTTTGCATCACAACCAGGCTTAATTGTTGATACAAGACAGGATGGAGCCACGCCTTCATGTTTTTTATGCCAAATTCTGATCCTGCCATCCACTTCAAAATGTTCTTGGAAAATGTTTTTATAAACCACTGGATCAATTTTCAGAGGCTTTACTTTTATACATATATGTGTGTGTTTCTGTGTGAGTGTGTGTCCATACATACACACTCATGACAAACCCCCCCAACACTGTTGCAGCAATATCCGGTGAGATACAAAGTTGGAACATGCAGTGACAGAGGGCCAGCTATTCCCATTGTGTATGACCACGGAGACGCGGAGTCCACCAAAAAGTTGTATGGACCCAATCCAAGAAGTAAGAAGCTCATTTAATCAGATTGAAAATGATATTTTGGACCATTAGAAGACAATTAATTAGACAATTAATGTGTAATGAGAGTCTTTTACATATTTTACACATAAAATAGTTGTTTAAACTTGCAGCACAAAATGAATAACAGAGTTTTTAAGTATCTATGAACGTACTGTATTAATTAAACCAGTTGTCATATGAATGTTTATTTAATTATTTAATTTGTTTGTTTGTTTGTTTGAATGAAAGGGGAGTTTGAACCAGGCTTCATCACTTTCAGAGCAATAAACTGGGAATCTGCAGCCATGGCTATCTGCTCTGGTGTCAAGCCGACTGTCGGTTGCAACATTGAACATGTGAGTAATCAGTCGTCACACATCTGCCTATACTGTGTGAGTACACATGGTGTAAAAACCCTGTTTTTAGTATTGTATAGGAGGAGGAGGATATTTCAACCCTGAGGAGCAGTGTGGGGACTTCCCATCGTTTGACTACGACAGACTGGGCAAAGAGCAAGGCTGGAGCGCCTCCAAAGAGATGACCGAGGCTGCTGTCTTACTGTTTTACCGCTGAGTGGGTTTGCGTAGCCTCGACTATAGTCAGTCCCAGCTGTAACCAGATCAGGTGACATCAGGTTTATTTGTACAGCCATCAATCATAAAATTTCTCTTTTATTGGAGAACAAATCAGAAGTTGTCAGTGAAAGAGTCAT